CTCTCTTTTGTCCAGTGGGGGACCGGAAGCTCCAAGACAACCCAGAGGTGGCACATCCAGCTGTTAAGGGGCAGGATGGAAATCCAAACCCTGCTCTGTCTGCTTCCCACACCTGGGCTCAGTACCAAGCACGGAAGCTGGCTGTTAGGGTGCGGTCTGCGCTCTGGCAAGACCGAGGCATGGGCTGCTCTTCCTGCCACAGGTACAAGAACACATACACAGCACACACACACACACACACACACACACACACACACAGCACTCAGGTGAGACACTTCCCCAATACCTGTGCCCTCTGCTGACTGTGCTGCCACGATTTCTAGTCTGAAAGGCACTTTCCCATAATACAGCTCACAGTGACTTAGGAAATGACTCAAAATAAATGAATTCTTGACATGGTGAGATACTGGGGACATTGGATCCTTCTTACTTCCAGTTCAGGAAAACAAGAGGTTTTGCCAAACGAAAGCAGACCAAGCCCTGGGGGAAAAAATTTGCATTTGTGCCAGTAAACTCTTGAGCAATAAACACATGGTTTGATCGCCTTAAACTTTTCTTCTTCATAATTCAGTGTCTGGGCGGGCATAACTAGCAGAGGGGTGCATGGGGGGATTTTTACACCGGTCAGCAACACAATAATGATTCTTGAAGGCAAAATAGAAAATATTTGCAAAAAATGAGCAATGATAGGATTTCTCATCACACAGCTCTGCACCACCACACTCAACCCTGCACACACTCATCTCTCTTCTTACAATAAAAACATCTCAAATTGTCCATCATGCAGAAAATTGTTCTCGCTCCTCCTTTCCCTCTCCTCCTCTCTCTCACTCTCTCTTTCTGTCTTTCTCTTCCGGGAAGAAATTCTTCAGTGTCAGACACTAGAGATCATCCAATACAGGCCATCAATTTTAAAGTCAGGCAAATCTGGGTTTGAATCCTAGCTCTGGCACCTTCGGCAAGTTATTTAAACTCTCTATGTCTCAATTATTTCATATGTAAAATGGGCTTAAAAATAATACCTAGCCCTAGCCGGTATGGCACAGTGAATAGAGCATCGGCCTGCAGACCGAAGGGTCCTGGGTTAGATGCCAGTCAAGGGCACATACCTTGGTTGCAGGCTCCTCCCGCATCTGGGCCCTGGTAGGGGCACGTGAGGGAGGCAACCAATTGATGTGTTTCTCTCACATTGATATTTCTCTCTGTTTTTCCCTCTCTAAAAATCAATGGGAAAATATCCTTAGGTGAGGATTTAAAAAAATAAAAAGAAGAATTAACAGACTTTAATAATAATAATACCTAGCATTCATTGGTTTGAGGGTTAAATGAACTAATGTTCGTTCCTAAGGTCCTCAGCTCAGAGCCTGGCACATAACCCATGTTCCCAAAATGTTCCTTGTTGTTAGCATCCAATCCAAGACCTTCATTTTATAGACAAGGGAACTATCATCAGAGAAAAGTGATGTCTCTATGGTCATATGGCCAGTTAGTGGCAGAGCCAAGACTAGATCCAGGCAGCCGATCCCAGTCCTCTTCCTACGGTACCACACACAGCATCGTTCATTCATCAACTTCAAGCAGAATGACGTTGGGACATTTTCCAGTTGATCACATTCAGGCCGAGCTGATGATGGTGCCAGGGCCGGGGCCGAGAGCATCCTGGAGTGCTGGCTCCCCACGATCAGGGGCCAGCTGAGCAGGAAGGGGAAGCAGCTGTGAATGCCACATTGACACACTGCCTCTGGGGCGATCAGCCCTGATAAAGCTGATTTCCACAGAGCGCTCAGCAACCGTCCTCTCATTGCTCATTTATCTTTTGGAAGCTGAAGCTCCAGAAAAGAGAAGTTGATAGGATGGTGTCACCATCAAACATTTTCAAACGCTCCGGAAGCAGACAAACCTTTGTGTCCAACCAGCCCCAATCCGCATCCCTGAGGGTCTCTCTCTGTCTCCAAAGCCCCCCTCCCAATGCTGAGAGCCTGTGTGATTGCCCAGTGGTTCTCAACCTTCTGGCCCTTTAAATACAGTTCCTCATGTTGTGACCCAACCATAAAATTATTTTCGTTGCTACTTCATAACTGTAATGTTGCTACTGTTATGAATCATAATGTAAATATCTGATATGCAGGATGGTCTTAGGCGACCCCTGTGAAAGGGTCGTTCAACCGCCAAAGGGGTCGCGACCCACAGGTTGAGAACCGCTGGCCTATCCTGTGCCCCTGTTGGGCAAATTGGTTTCTGTACTGATGACATCTTAAGAAGCAAGTTGCTCCCAGTGATGGCCGGTTCTCTGAGGGATAGTTTCCATGTTCCTGGAGATGGTATAGATCAAGCCTCCTTCCCCTTTTGGGTGGGGAGATGCAACATCCTGCTGCTGCCCAAGACTGCTTCGGTCCGTAAGTTCCCTTATAAACTCTTGGTTTAATTCTGGAGTTGTCAGCCTCTTTCTCTAGTCTCTCAGCCCCATATTCCTTTGGAGCCGTTCCAGTACACCTCGGAAATTTTTCACAACAGCCCTGTTTTTGCCCACATGGTACAATTTTACCTCAAATGCTCCTCCCTTCCCCTTTCCTTACAGAACACTAACACACACACACACACACACACACACACACACCCCATCACACCATCACACATGTGCCCATGGGCTTTTGTTCCCTATGGAAAGTATTTAAATTGTCCATAGCAACATTCAATTCCAGTATAGGAAAATCCAGCAACCTACAGTCAGGGCAGTACAGTTCCTGGTGTTTCCAGAGAGAAGAGAATCCATTAATTCTGACAAATTTTCACAGCTGCCCAGACCAACCCGCTGTTTTTTAAGCCTGAGCCAGCCGAACCCTCTCCATTTAGTAAACAGAGGTGAGGGGGAGACGGGGAGGGGCCTGGAACATGAGAGAGGAGGGAGGGGCCATGGTTATGCTCATTTCAACCCTTCGGTAACAAAGATGATGATTCTGCAGAAAGCTCACTGGACCGGAAGTTAGGAGGCCTGGGCCCTAATCCTGGCTCGGCCACTGAATGAACTCCATGCTCTTGGGCTGGTCACTTGCCTCTGCGCCTCAGTGTTCTCTGCTCTGTGCTTGGGTTTGTCTTCACGGCCTGGAAGAGGCTTCTAGTGCCAGGTCTTTAGAGTGACGATCTTCAGTCCTGATGACACATTATAGCTTTTCAAGTACTTCCGCTTGCCGTATTTTGTGTATCTAATCCTCCTTAAAACTCAACAGTGTAGGAAGGGTATTTGGCAAATAAAGAAACTAAGGTACCTATTGGTTGGGCAAACCATGGCAGAGCTTAGTGCTAAAATGAGTTAGTTCGACTTCCGGCCACCTGTGGCCCACACTGCCCTCTTGGGTGCAGACTGTCTCCCCAACGAAAGGCCAAAGAGAAGGGCTCCTTGTAAGTGGGCGAATGACAAAGAGGCTTTGTTCCCTTAGGGTCAGGGGTCAAGGATCTGGGCTATTCCCCAAACTCTTTTGATGTCTTTTTAACATTTTAGAGCCCAAGGCAGGATTCAACTTAGCTCCAAACCCTGTCTGTTTCTTGGGCTTTGGAGATGGACACCTTGATCTTGGAGTTCTAGCTTCCAGAATCATCTATAATAACAAAAGCATAATATGCTAATTAGACCAGACAACCAATGACCTTCTGGACGTCCTTCTGGATGACCTTAGGGATGAAGCCGCGGTGACGGGGGCTGAGACAGAGGTGGTTAGGGCCAATCAGGCAGGTGGGTGAGCAGTTAGGGGTAATGAGGCAGGCAAGCAGAGTGGTTAGGGGTGATCAAGCAGGCAGACAGGTGGGTAGTTAGGAGCCAGCGGTCCCAGATTGCGAGAGGGTGCAGGCCGGGCTGAGGGACCCCCTCCCCCATGCACAAATTTTGTGCACCGGGCCTCTAGTGAGAAAATAAATTTCTATTGTTTAAGCCACCCAGTCTGTGGTCCTTTGCGTGGCAGTCTGAGTAAACTAATCCAGGCACCTGCTCCAGAACTCTCACCCCCAGCACCTCTCTGGCCCTCGAGGGCTGCCTCTGTTTTCTCCTCTGAACCTCCCCCTACCCTATAGCCCTGGATTCATCAA